GACATGCAAAGACATCAGATATCACTTGATACTATCATACAGATATGTGAAGACATCAGTTGTCACGTGATACTACCAAACAGACATGTAAAGGCATCAGATATCATTTGATACTATCAAACAGATACATAATGTATGTCGAGACTTACGATGTCATTTGATACTATCATACAGATACATAATTTATGTCAAGACGTCAGATATCATTGGATACTATCAAACAGATAGATATCATTTGATACTATCATACAGATCATGATACTATCATACAGAGATACATAATTTATGTCAAGACGTCAGATATCATTGGATACTATCAAACAGATACATAATGTATGTCGAGACTTACGATGTCATTTGATACTATCATACAGATACATAAATTATGTCAAGACGTCAGATATCATTGGATATTATCAAACAGATACATAATGTATGTCGAGACATCCGATGTCATTTGATACTATCAAACAGATACATAATGTATGTCGAGAAATCCGATGTCATTTGATACTATCATACAGATACATAATGTATGTCAAGACATCCTATGTCATTTGATACTATCATACAGATACATAATGTATGTCAAGTCGTCAGATATCCTTTGATACTATCATACAGATACATAATTTATGTCGAGACATCCGATGTCATTTGATACTATCATACAGATACATAATGTATTTCGAGACATCCAATGTCATTTGATATTATCAAATAGACATGTAAAGACATCAGTTGTCATTTGATAGTATAATACAGACATTTCGAGACATGGAAGGTCATTTGATACTTTCATACAGATGTGTCAAACTACTGAATGTCAATACACTTGATACTATCATACATATGTGTCGGTATACCACATGTCAGCACACCTTGTATAAGAATACAGATACTTATGAATACTAATAATTTAACGATACAGGTATGTCGTCGAGATATCAAATGCTGCGAAGAAAAAAAAGTTCGGATCACATTGTTTGTCTTTCCGGAGCCCCTCGTTTGTTCTTCAAGAGCACATTGTGTTCCCGTCCAGAGCACCTTGTGTTCCCCCAGAACACCTTGTGTTCCCGTCCAGAGCACCTTGTGTTCCCCCAGAACACCTTGTGTTCCCGTCCAGAGCACATTGTTTGCCTATTAGGAGCACACTATTTTGTTTTAGTAGTTTATGGTGTTGCGGAGTCTTTCTTTTCCTTTTTTAGTGTCCTCAGTGTTTAGTTCAGATGTTTTCCTTTTATGGTGGTATATATATCATTTGTAAGGCTTTCATATCCCCAACATTGACAGGACCCACGCCAGTTAAGACATCATTTTAGCAATTCTTAAACAGTTTAACATTACCTGTTAAGCTGTCACTTAAAATAAATGACAATCAATCAAATGAAAAAATAGATAAAACTTTATCTTTAAGGAGGCATTCCAGAAAAAAACACCTCGATGGTAGTTATCATTTATAATAAAGATCGAAAATCTTGTCTCAATATAAGAAACCTTCTGAACCTACGTAAAGTAGGCTTTGAGCTGATGTCTGTATTGTATGTACCACACTGTCCATACCAATTCTGTAAAGGGGCTCCTATTATAAAGGAAAATCTCATAAACCCAATCAAACTTCCACAAGCAAAGCTGCGAAGTTTGTGGTACCCGTCCTGTGGTCTCAAGTCACAATGAGGACCTAAGACCTAGCAAACACGTCTTTATTATTGTAAGGTAATTTAAACCTTATGTAACTTTAATAAACTATACCATACATTGATCTGGATTAGTCCATTACGGCCTACAGTGGTGAATGAGTTAAATAACTTTCAGTATAGTTTGAGGCACACTTAAAGAGTCGGTGATATTGACGCCATGATGCATAGTAAGGTATTGGAGCTATCAAAGGAATTGTGTTTCATAGGTTGCCATCATTTTACGTACTGATCAACATTAAAAGCAAAAACGTATGTTTAGCAAAATGGAGTCAAACACGGTTGATATTACCTCTAGATAACCTCCATGCTGTCTTACTAAACCGAAGCCTATTTTGTCTGCGATGGATTCGTCTTCAATCAGAAGGGAAAATGAAATGAGACATCATTGAAATGAGAAAAATCAAATGTGCCTCAGATATATAGGATCTTACATGAGTTTTCATTTCATACGTTATTTATGAAACGAGTCTAAGAATATGTTTCAATTTAGCGACCCTCTGGTGAGCTAAAATGAAACATTCGTGACGAGTTTCATAAATTTCAAATGAAATGAAAACGAGTGTAAGATCCTTTTTATCACATAATCAAGATTTGTGGCATTTATTCGTAAAAAACGACAATTTTCATGCAACTCTGAAATGTAAAAGCCGCCATTTTGAGTCCAGTGACATCATGTACTTGTCCTAGGCGTGACGTCATAATTGAAACAAATGAAACTTACAACCAATCACAGGGCTGATAGGTCATATTACATGGGTTAATACGCAAAATAATATGACATGGTTATATTCACTGGATAACACAGTACATTATGTGATAAATTTATTTGTATATTTAGAGGACAGGATATACTAGTAAATGGCAAGAGACGAGGGAGTTTCAGTCTTAATTTTCTTTCCTGGAAGCGACTATTTGCCTCGAGGTTTATGAATGAAGAGGGTTTTGCTACACTAAATGAATTATTCTATTTAACGCTTTGGCCTTTCACAGATGGTTTAGCCTAACAAAGTTTCGGTTAAATTACAGCTGAAGTGTCAGTTTATTTGTAAAGTGAAAGCGGATGTTGTTTGTCGTTCAACTTCAAGTTAGTTTGCCATTATATTTTCATATTAAATCACATTTGTTGGTATAATGAACATTTCCCTATAAAGTGGAATGCATAATGTATCAAAGCTAATAAAAAAAAACGTAGATGTATAATTTCGTTGCGTTGTAATATCATAGATAGGGATCTTTAGTCGATTAGATTCCATTATCTTGCAATAAACCATTAGGATGTCGACATAATATAATTTTAAACCCCACGTAAAAGATTTCACATGGATGACATAGCATTGCGGTTGTTGCACAACTGAACGTGACTTTATAACAAGCTAGATAAGGCGTATTCCCTCTAAACCGGAATAACACGTACAAAATATTTAATAAAGACTCATTTAAATTACTATTTATAACAAATTTGTTCTCTGTAGAAAAACTCTATTAACACATCAACATGGATTAAACGGAATTCATATGAATATGTAAGGATTTTAATTTCAAAAGATTTGGTTTCACTTGACTTGTTTGTTAAAGCATGCGTAACATTGACGCACAATTGATGAGTTCATACTTGTTGCAAATGTAGAAGCGTAGGAACCAACGTAGAGTACCCCGTCATCATCGGGACATTTACATTGATTTGCTGTTGACCCGATCATAATCAATAGCTTCACGTTGATATTCAGGTTGTTTAGTTTCGTATTAGTTCAATAAACTTGCGATATTTTCTAATCGCTTTACTAGCTCCAGTGCATTTCACCTACAATAAACATACAAAGTTCATCAACTCGGCCATCACCTAGGCACGGTCGTCGATTTCTAACACCAGATATTTCCGTTATATTCAATTAAGTGAAGAGTTAATTTAGTAATAGACATTGTTTTATTATGGTCGTTTTGGGTCCTATTTTTCTGTTTCGTTTCAGCTACGAGCAAAAACATTAAGTTAATACGCCTGTAGATTTTACGTACAAAACTGTATAACTATACAGGTCTAATATTTTACGCGAGGAATCGTTATACAATATAATATTTCAACTGATATGGTTTTGTCATACTGCAGAGCCGTTATAAGAATACCACTAATCTCATATCGGTATTTGAGACTTAAAAATACATTTAGCGTAATTTAATATTTTCTAATTTATTTTTATCTATATTTTATTAAAATCTGAATAAAGCTTTTTCTGAAAGTTTACCAAGAAATGTATTGATCAAACGAGTAAAGTCACAAATATATAATTATACTGCACATCATTATTTTGCACATTGTTTACAAAACAAAATTTAAAAGTCGAGGTGACCAATTACGCTATAGACGTGCACTACATGAACCTATTTACGGGTGCTTTTAAACAGTTTAACTGTATGACAATAGTGGGCTATGAGGATGGGGGCATTATCATAAAAAGGGGGTCACGTCCCATGTATATTGGTACACAATTGTGGGATATTATTGTCTGCAAACACAATACCCATAGTTTTATTTATACTGCTCAATTTCCTACAGTGTGGTAATCGTTTGATATAAGAGACACTGATAAATCATAATTATTGTATATAAATAAATAGCAGGTCACAAAAAAACGTTTTACTTTAAAATTCACTTCTCTGTCCGATTTTATAAAGTCTTGTTAGCTTGACGCATTAGGACGACTGGTTATTTATGTTCTTTTATGAAAAAAGTGTCAAATTCCCCAACCTATATTCAAAATAGAATGTTTTAAATCTGAGAAGGAGAAAATGAAGAATTAATAAAAATCTGTTAATTTCAAGACATCTAGGATTCATGTTATTTTGGAAAGCTGAGTTTCTGACATGGTAAGCTAACCAGGCTCTGACGAACTTAACCAAATATTGTCCTAAAGACTAATTAAGTAACACAGTGTAGTAATGTCCTCGTATGATAACTTTCACACTATATGATTTTAATTTACCGTATTAATCTCATTGTAATCTTCTCCTTACTGCTTACTTACTTCCACGGGTCGTTCAATATGGGACGTTTCCCCCGATAAGCTGTACAAACACATAAAAACCAATAAAATGAATATTGCAGAAATATATTAATCTTTTGATTCACCACAAGGAGTGTGACATGAAGGAGAGTATATGCCATAAGGACCGGTAATAAAAGCACAGCCTCGTAAACAATCTGATAACAACCAGGTACAACAAATTGTATTACATGCAACGGTTTTAATTACAATATATAAAGTTATATAAATACCAGTTCCATTCACAAGGTCTTTCGTCTAAGTATGATAAGGTGAACAGACACATAGCTGTAAAACATAGCTGTACAACAAGATTAAAGTAATGAAATCTTACCAGTGATAGTTATAGGAAACTGCAAGGCATACGTCTTATTTACCTTGGAGACAATATTTGTATGATATTATTTTTAATTCATTTATACCGGATTTCTTTTAATCAGCATGGGCGTTCATTCTGTTCCGTTTACCTGTATTTCACCTTTGTGAGACCTTTAAGGTCGGCAAGCGATCAATAGATATTGTTGACTCCGACAGACGGTTCCAGTTCCTACGTTTAAAATCCCATCACAACCAATATCTGTCGACACTCGGGTAGCAGAGGACAGGCGAGGCTGCCTAGGATATCATACGTCACAAGTGTCTTGGAATTTTCGGGAAGACAACGTTACATAATTTAATAAGGTATGTTCAGTGAACTTACTTAGCTGATTATTTACAGTGTTTTACGCTGATGTGAGTGTGACTGTTGCTTGTTTCCTTCACAAACCTTCCTGTTTTCCTTGGTATCTTTCCATTTCAAACTCTTTCCGTTTATACTCTTTTTTACTAAGCATCTGTTTTTACCTTGGTGTATTTTACTTACAAACCATTATCTTGCCCTTAGTACTTTTCCCTAACAAGCCAGCTTCTTTCCTCTTATGGTATCCTCACTCTGTCCCTAGATAAATTTCCTGACCCTTAAATGAGCTATTCCAAAGTGAAAACCCGATCGATAGCAGGGTAAATTAATTGCTTTTATTATTAATTACACCAAGAAAGCATTTTAACCATTGATGACTTGTTCATTCAAATGAAATCGTTTTACATATATCTAACATAACGAAAATGAAAATTTTATAAATTCGTTTATGTTATTTATTTATGTTTATGATATTAATTAACGACCTTTTATACATATATAAATGATAGAACGTAAAAAAAACGGGACGTATCTCACTAAACCAAACCTGGAATTAAAAGGGAGCAGAAAAGAGTTTAAACATTTTTGTAAGGGAATACCAAAGGAAAAGAAACAGTTCACGAGTGTTGCAATTGGCGTTGTAGATCAGTTTTGGACTTTTGAGATCATGCCGTGGATCCGATCAGGCCAACCTCTGGTGTGGTTACGCAGGCGAATTAAATAGCTCACTCGCCTTTCAGCGGGACAACCGGGGTTCGATTCCATGCTCGGATGTGAATAATTATACGGGTGACATGGCCGACCACGTGGGTTTATTTCTGCAGTAAGTCAGGGTTCCTCCTACATTATGACCCCTCGTGTGCTCCTATCCGGGCCAACAAATGTGATTAAATCAAATTGATGATTTGTTTTTCATTATTGTTGTAAATTATATAAAGTTTATATTTTATATTTAGATCTGGTCAATGTTACCCATCTCTACATACCGAAGTCCATTTTATAAGATCAATATTTTCTATAATTCAGACATGTTTAAAACTTGCTATGACAATATGCCTAGGTTCAGAAAGAAAATGTTCGCAAGAAGTCCTGATACAAATGGAAGCCATTATACGAACTTAATTCCAATATAGTTCCAGAAAAGAGTATTTCATTCATTTTTGATTATTTTTAAGGTTGAATACTTTCGAGAAAGATCATTTAGACATTAGATGTCGTCAAACCATCAACTTTTTGTGTTGAATATATTTGAAGAAGGTCATTCAGATATCAGAGGTCACCCAACCATACAAAATATTTACCGTCACGCTATCAAAGGTCGTTATCTATTGAATATAGAATGAGTTAAGGCATATGTATCAGTTCAGTAAACAGATAATCTGAATAAAATACCCATGGACCGTTGGGTCTAATATCATATTAATCAGATAGTACATATTTCTCTATTTATCAATGAAATGGAGGAATAAACCTAATTTTGTTTATTCTGTACGCGCCACCTTATGGCTAATATAAGTAAACTAGTGTTGCCTTTAAATGTATATCAAAATAATCGCTCGGCAACGTAACGGTAAAATAGACCGGCTTTGATTGATGTTATTTTGTTTGACCTCTTGTTACACACTTTGTGTGTCAGAGCGTAATAAAAAAATCTTGAAATCTTGAATCTTGTTGATGCTCCTCTGTAATCTTCAAAGGCTATGCATTGTCCCAGCTATCGGTCAGTTTTCTTTTATCGGAAAAATAACTGACCGTGCACCTTTGAATGTGTCATGATCTATTCCAAGAATGCAGAGAATATGAGTAAGCGTCAACCCTAGAATTTCGAAGAGGGTCAATTTCAAGCTTGAGACCATTACATTACTTGTGCTGATTAGCACACTTTGTATGATGTTGATGACAAATCGGTCAAAGTTAGGAGGTATGCTTCAGATATGCTTTTTTTTTATGAAGGACGATGTCTGTGCTTGTTCTTCTTTCTATCATCTTATGACAAGATAATGCATGTATATTATTTGGAAACATGATATTTTATTATAATTCGAGTGGATTGCTATAGCCCTCCACACTTTAAGTCGATCACGACTCTAACGTGTTAGAATGAAGAACAGCAATATATATGAAGGACACATCGAAAAAAATTCTTTAATGAATACAGTGACCCGATAGAAGCGGAAAGTCAGATATATTTAAGGATAACTATTTCTTCCTTAATCAAATGGTGTACCTTGTAATAGTGTTCTTTATTGATTTTTCATACAAAAATATAGTTTGTTTTGTTCATTGGTGGGATCAAAGGAGAAAAAATGTCTCTGCAGCTATTGATCTATAAGTATACATTTTGGCAAGCGAACTTAATTGAATACCAAAAAAGGACATCACATATATTTTCTTATTGATATTTATCATAATCTTCTTGATACATAATAATTATTATCTGATGAGATATGTTATAAATAGTCTAAGCATATGACATATCTTTACAATGTTAAATATATCGACATTACCAAACCCTTTCAGATATCTTGAGTATATTTTCATTTATCTGTTTCTTTTCGTGATATCGAATTTCATGTAGACATATTTTGTTTCATTTTAATATATCTATAGTTCATTTATATATACTGTATCTCTCTATATAGATTTAGATATATCTATTAACTTTGGGTATTATATGTAAAGTAGGAATGCCATAATAAAAGTATAAAATCTATGATAGCCTATAAAGAGCCTTTCATGCATAGATACAAGGGACACAATAGGTCACTTTTAGAAGGTACGAGCTCGCATAAAAAAGATTATAAATACTTGATTGCATAAGTAGTATCGTTATCATTACGGAGTTATATAAAGTAAATTACATCATATGTATTGTTTAAATTTAAATACAATGTACACGTACAAATTCACTGTGCAATATAGTAGATATATGCCACAACAATAGATTGATGCCTTGGTTCAATTCAAAATAGGAATCAAAACAATTAAAATGGCAGGAACATGTAGACAGACGAAATGAAACTACACGGTAAATACATAAAAAAAAAAGAAAAAAAAGCAGGATATTTAAAACAAAAAGTTGTGCCTTCTGTCAGTGTCTACCGGGTCTGTGGATATAGTCTCAAGCTAGCGTTGTGACTACTGTCGATGTCTACCGGGTCTGTGGATGTAGTCTCAAGCTAGCGTTTTGACTACTGTCGATGTCTACCGGGTCTGTGGATATAGTCTCAAGCTAGCGTTGTGACTACTGTCGATGATTACCGGGTCTGTGGATATAGTCTCAAGGTAGCGTTGTGACTACTGTCGATGTCTACCGCGTCTGTGGATATAGTCTCAAGCTAGCGTTGTGACGACTGTCGATGTTTACCGTGTCAGTGGATATAGTCTCAAGCTACTAGCGTTGTGACTACTGTCGATGTTTACCGAGTCTGTGGATATAGTCTCAAGCTAGCGTTGTGACGACTGTCGATGTTTACCGGGTCAGTGGATATAGTCTCAAGCTACTAGCGTTGTGACTACCGTCGATGTCTACCGGTCTGTGGATATAGTCTCAAGCTAGCGTTGTGACTACTGTCGAAGTCTACCGGGTCTGTGGATATAGTCTCAAGCTAGCGTTGTGTCTCTTGTCGTATCTACCGGGTCTGTGGATATAGTCTCAAGCTAGCGTTGTGTCTCTTGTCGTATCTACCGGGTCTGTGGATATAGTCTCAAGCTAGCGTTGTGACTACTGTCGTATCTACCGGGTCTGTGGATATAGTCTCAAGCTAGCGTTGTGACTACTGTCGATGTCTACCGGGTATGTGGATATAGTCTCAAGCTAGCGTTGTGACGACTGTCGATGTTTACCGGGTCAGTGGATATAGTCTCAAGCTACTAGCGTTGTGACTACTGTCGATGTCTACCGGTCTGTGGATATAGTCTCAAGCTAGCGTTGTGACTACTGTCGATGTCTATCAATGTGTGTATTATTTATACATTATTTTCTTAAACAAAAACTATATTTTGTCTTTTTTGGTCATATTTTGGAAAACAAACCTGATATATTTGATTTATTTCAACCCCTTTTGTCGCCCCAGAGACTCACTTTCAATCAAGCTTTGGCAGTAGTCCTTTCGAAGGTAATACAATAAGATACAAATCAGATGAAAAACCGGTAATGAAGGGGCTCAAAAAACAGCCTTATAGGCACCTATCCTTTATCCTATTTCTGATAACTATTTGCAGTATACGTCATAGGAATTAATATCTGGTTTCGATTACAAATCGCGATATTGTCTAGTGAATTATCTCTTTTATATATTGATATTGGTAGGTTAAACAGGTGTGCAGTTTCCTTTATTTAATCAATGCGCAAATGGGTTTTTTAGTTGATCTAAACAAACAGCAGTAAAAAGTCATTATTCTTGCTTTATAGCGTTGACACGCCATTTCTTGTGCTCAACTATCTGTTTAAGTAATCATTAGTCATATCATTGATTTCCTATTAAAGTTAAGTGTATAACCTCAATATGCGTAAAGCATTGATTGTATAAAAAATATAGATGTAAAAAATATTGATATCTAATTATTTAAATAGAACTCAATTGCTGAGTCTGCGAACTTTTTGAGATGATTGTTCTATATTTCTGAAAAGAAAATGTTTATACGACTTAAATGTTTGCTCTGTAACAGATAGCATTACATAACTAAGGTGTCAACTGATTGTAAAACTACTCAGACACCACTCTAACGTACCCCAAGCTGATATATCATTTACTAAAAAGACGGCAGCACAAAATCCGATCGATCATATGATTCTTAATTTAGTTAACCAGAAGTACTTATATGGAGACATCAATACAATTAAAGACTTGATAAAGAATGACAAAATGCAAGTCTTTTTCACTCTCTTTGGCATTTTTGAAGCACAGGACAACCTGATTCTATAAGTGCTCCTTATCAGTTGCCCCCATACGATCACGAAGTGGCACCGAGCAGGCTACCGCTCTTCGAACCCATATAG